TATATTTATAATTATTAAATCCTCTGGGTGAATCGCCCCCTTTATAATTATATAATGACCTTCTCTATCTCTTGTGGCAGTTTTTGACTTTTTATATGATATAAAATAGACTTTGCTCTCTTTTGATTGTGATTGGCATGGGATATATTTTTCTTCTTCTTCACTTTCAGCCTTTGTGTGTCCTTAAAGCTAAAGTGAGTCTCTTATAGGAAGCATGTGGTTAGATCTTGTGTTTTTAAAAAATCTATTCAGCCACTCTATGTCTTTAGATTGGAAAATTTAATCCATTTACAGTTGAAGTAATTATTGATGAGTAAGAACTTACTATTGCCATTTTATTAATTTTTTTTTACTTTTTTGTAGCTTCTTTGTTCTATTATTCTTCTCTTCCTGTTGTCTTTTGTGATTTGATGATTTTTTCATAGTTGTTTGCTTTGATTCCTTTCTCATTATCTTTTGTGTGTCTACTACAGGTTTTTTTCCTTTGTGATTACCATAAAGCTTATATAAAATATCTTATGGTTATAACAATCTGTTTTAGCTTGACAACAACTTAACTGAAACCACATACAAAGTGTCTACATGCTAACTTCTTCTCTCTCGATATTTTATGTTATTAATGTCACAATTTACGTCTTTTTATATAGTGTATTCATTAACAAATTATGGTAGCTAGTTATTTTTAATACTTTTAACTTTTATACTAGATTTAGAAGTGACTTATAAATTACCATTATAATATTAGAATTAGAGTATGCTCCTATCTTTAAAGTGAGTTTTATTCTTTCATATGTTTTCATGTTGTTAGTTAGCATCCTTTTGTTTTAACTTGAAGAGCTCTCTTTAATATTTTTTGTAAGGCAGGTATAGTGCTGATGACTGCTTCAGCTTTTGCTTTTCTAGGAAAATCCTTATTTCTTCTTCATTTCTAAAGGAAAGCATTGTTGGGTACAATATCCCTGGTTGGCAGTTTTTTTTCTTTCAACACTTTGAATATATCACCCCACTTTCTCAAATTCAAGATTTCAGCTGAGAAATCCACTCATAATCTTATGGGGGTTCCATTTTATATTGTTAATATAAGTCACTGTTTTATTGCTGCCTTCAAAATTCTCTGTCTTTGAATTTTAAGAATGTGATTATAATATGTCTTGGTAAAAATAAATTTATGTTTAATTTATTTGGGGTTATTTGGGGTTCATAAATCTGGATGTTCACTTCCTACTCCAGATTTGGACAGTTTTTGTCATTATTCTTTAAATAAGGTTTTTATCTTTTCTATTTCTCTATTCCTTATAGAACTTCTTTAAGTATATTGGTTTGCTTGCTAGAGTACTATAAGACCCATAGTCTTTCTTCATTTTTTTATTCTTTTTATAAAAATTCCTCTGCCAGGGTAATTTCAAATGACTTGTCTTTGAATTTATTGATTCTCTCTTATGTTTGACTGAGTCTGCTGTTGAAGCTATCTATGGAATTTTTAGTTCAGTCATTGTGTTCTTCAGAATTTCTGTTTGGTTCTTTTTTATGCTCCAGAATTTCTGTTTGGTTCATTTGTATGGTTCCTATCTCTTTGTTGAACTTCTAATTTTGTTCATGTATTATTTTTATGGTTATGTTTAGTTGCCTATCTGTATTCTCTTGTAGCTCACTGAGCTTCTTTAAGATGATTATTTTGAATAATTTGTTAGGTGGTTCATAGATCTCTATTTCTTTAGGGTTGGTTACTGGTGCTTTGTTTTGTTACTTTGGTGCTGTCATGTTTCTCTGCTTATTTGTTATCCTTATGGCCTTGCATTGATGTCTGTGCATTTGAAAAAGTAGGCACCTTTTCACTCTTAATGGGAAAATCTTTCATTAGTCAGCCCATCCCAAGATTTTGGGTGGTCCAGCTGTCAGGGCCCATGGGTGAGCTTGCTGCTTGAGTCCTTGAGCATGCTGGCCTGGTGCCTGGGTCAGTGGGCCAATAGGCCTGGTGTCTAGGTCCACATGGGCTAGCCTGTTGCCTGGGTATGCTGGGTTGGGTCTAGAACTCATGGGTATGGGCCTATAGCCCGGGTCTATGAGGGCTATTCTGGCACTGGGGATCCCTGAGTTGGGTTTGGTGTCTGAGTCTATGAGGACAGGCCTGGAACCTAAGTCTGTGGATGTGGCCCTGGAGCCTAGGGGAGTAGCCTGGCACTGGAGTTGACCTAGAGGCTGGGGCTGCAGGGACTAGCCTGGTGCTGAGGTGAGTCTGGATCCTGGGCTATAAGAGATGTCCTTGTGCTGAGATGGGCCTTAAGACTGGAGCCATGGGGGTGACCTACTGCTGGGGTTCACTGAGATGGGTCTTGTGCTGGAGCCTGAAGCACCTGTGGTTGGCCTGGTGCTAGGGCATGCCTGGCCCTCTGTCCCTGTGGGTTGGCTTGAAGCATGGGAGCCAGCCTGGAGCTTGGGTCAGTGGAGACTGGCTTGGAACCTGGGGCCATAGGGGCCTTGACTGGTATTAGGGTTCACCAAGTTGGTGAACTTGGTTCACCAAGTTGGGCCTGATACTGGGGTCCATGATGAAGTCATGAGTTAATTTTATTCCTCTTCCCCCATATATAGGATATCACTTTTCATACCTCACTGTCCAGGTTTAGTGGGGGGGGGAGGGTAATGCAGGTGATATAAAACTGTCCTTCCTACCCTCTTCAATGCACCTTTTCTTATTTCTATGCTCCACCAAGGTGCTATATTCTCTTACCTAGATTCTTTAGCTCTTTTGAAGGTATGTTCATGCATGGATGGTTGTTCAAATTGGTATTTCTGTGAGGGGACAGAAACTCCTATTCTGCCATTTTGCTCATGTGACTCTTGTTTCTTTACTTAAAAAATTATTGCTGCACTTTCTTAAATATCATATTGCTAAAAATTATCAGGCACTTGGCTTAGTTGTGGAAGTTCCCCGTTAGAGCAAGTTCCTCCTATAGTTCTCTATAGATAGGCTCTATTTGTAAAATTTTTGTAGAAATAATATTTTGTGTGTGGAATTGAAGGACATATTTTACACAAATGTTCAGTGGGCAGTATTAATTAATAAGAAGGTCTATTGCATTAGAGAAGGGAAAGGTATCAAGTTTATTTAGAAGAAATAAAATGAGTTGAAAAAATTTAAGGGAAAATAAAAAGTTCAATGGAAACATGTTGAGAAAGATAAAATAAGGAGGAGGACATGGAAGAATGTTTATAGCCTTGGAATGACAAGAGTGGGGAAAGCCAAGAGCACAGTTGGAGTTGGATTAGATTAAGTAGAAGTTCCAGGTGAGACTGAACTGAGATTGCACCATTCCTGGTTACTTTGATAACAACCCCACCTTCTGTTATTAATGCTTTAATGAGAAAATTCTTGCAAAAATAGCCAGAAGAGGCAGAGTCACATATGGTCCAGTGTGTTCCACATTGGTGGAAAGTCTGAGGAGGAGTTTGGGAAAGATTGTGATGCAGCAATGGAAGAGATAATGATGAGAAAATTTTCATCTCTGTATAAAAGGACAACTGAAATACATGCTTGTGAATTTCTGGATGCTTTGCCATATTGTATTTCCTGATAAATTTTATCTCAGCTGATACAAAGAATAAACTCATTATTATGGTTATCACTTGCTGGACGTCTATTATTTTCTAGAAGCTGTACCAGAAACTTATATAAGTCATTTAATTACATATTTCAAACCTGCATATGAATTAGGTATTATGATAATTTTATAGACAAAGAAAATGAGAATGAGAGCAATTAATAAATTGCCCAAGGTCAGATAGCAAGTAAGTACCAGAAATAAAATCCAGATCAACCTAATTCCCAAACCCTTACTCTTTCAATTATGTTTCAGAGTTCATCACAAAAAGAACAACTCTATTTTCTTAAACTGATTTATTACCTACTGAGTAGGACTATGTGGTTAAGATAGAATCTGAGGGAAAATACTAAATTAAAATAGTTGCCACATATCAATGATCAGTAAGATACAGTGTTTTAAGAATATATGTCAGAATAAAATAATGCTGACATAGAAATTTCATCATATAAAAAATTCACATTCTTTATATATAATTTTAGAAATAGCTACTGTTAAAGAAAGGATCTATTTACCTAGAAATATCTGGGGTGGTTGAGCAGTGTATAAATATTCCTAGGGTGAACATCCTTTTTATCTTAGGTCTCTGGCTAATATATCTGAGAGGTAGATACCTGACCTCAAAATATTCCCTTTTATAGACATTGAAAACTTGCAAGGGAAGATACAGAGGGCATAGTATAGTAGAGTTGAGTTATATTAATGACAACTCTCTGGAGAGAAAAGAACTGCCTAATGCTACCATGCTCAATGGAAAAGAATAACAGAAGCCACTGCAACACCATACAAATGGAGACTCTAGACCATTTAGGAATAAAATATTGGGTAACTTCACTGCTCAAAGAATCCTGACTAGCTGAGTTGCTAGCTGATGGCAATAATAATGTAGAAGTCAGAAATACTAGCCAGAACCTTGCTATGGTCTGAATGTTTGTGTCCCCCTCAAATTCATATGTTGGAACTGAAGCATCATTGTGATGGTACTGGGAGGGAGGTCTTTGGGAGGTGATCGGGTCATGAGGGCAGAGCTTTTATGATGGTATCAGTGCTCTTACAGAAAAGACAGCACAGAGCTAGCTCTCCCCTTCCACCATGTGGGGACACAGATTAGGCACCATCTAGAACCAGAAAACAGACCCTCTCCAGACACCGAATCTGATGAGAACTTGATCTTGTATCTCCCAGTCTCCAAAACTATGGGAAATAAGTTTCTGTCATTTATAAGCTATCCAGTTTACAGTACTTTCTTATAGCAGCCCGAATGGACTAACATAAACCAGTTTTAGCAACGAATACAAAAAATCTCTACTTGCATTTCTTCGTTTACTGTATCTACTATACTATGTTCATATTTATATTAATATTGATTTCTCTTACTTTTCTCCTTTTCATAGGCTGTAGTTACAGAATACCCAGATGGAATTACTACAAATCTATAACACTAATGGATACCACCTGGAGAGCTTGGCTTGTAAAAATGTGGTCCCATGACATTGTACCTTGTTTAATAGCTGGACATGAATTTAGATTGTTTCCATTAGGTGAGAGTGTTAGTTATTATATATGAAATAATTGTTCTTAGTTGGGTGGAGGTATTTATGGATATATGGGAAAAAAGATGTATGTAGCGCATGTAGGTGTATGTATGTGTGTGTGTTTGTGTATGTGTGTGTGTGTGTGTACATCTCAGGCAGCCAAGGGATGGAATGTAGGAGACACAAACTGGCATATTTGCATAGTTTCCCCAATGACATGCCTGCGTCATCTACTCTGTCCTCTGGGCATGGCTGTATGTTCCAAAAATAGAGATAACTGACCCAAGTTGGGTCAATTAGATTCACTCTTCTAACAATTGAAAACCTGAATTGAGAAAATAGAAATCGAAGGCATTAGAGTTGCATGACCCTAGGCAATGTCTTAGAATGTCTGTCTCCAATCCCTAGCTGCTGGAGGTCCTGCAACTTCTCTGTTTTAGTTCTTCCCACAGTTTAATTGCTCAGTTCTGCCTGTATTCTATGATGTCCTGCAAAATCTTCAGAATACATACTTTTACTTAATTTTTTTTTTTAGTAGGCAAAAATAAGGCAGGGAGTCTAATTTTAAAATTAAGCAGAACAGAGAGGGCTGTTAAAAATGCATACATTTTTTGTTTAGAGTCTATATTCATATATCACAGAAAGAAGAGAGGGAGATACACTATGGGTATATTTCAGATGCTGCTAGTCTGATACCATCCATTGCTCATGGACTTCCTTCTTCTCCGAAATACCAGTTCTTTAACTTGATTCTTCTTTATATTATTAATTATTGATTTTGGCTGTAACTAAAAGAAAAACATAATAGAACATCTTAAGCAAATAGGGAATTCATTTTTTTTTTACTGGGACAAGAAGTACAGAGTTAGATCTCAGGTGGCAGCTCACTGATACTGTTGGAACCCAAGCACTTTCTTTCTGCTCCACTGTCCCAAGCACGTGACTTTTTTTCCCCCTGTGATTGCAAAATAGCTGCAGATCTCTAGGCATTAATCCAGCACCACAGACAGAAGACTGAAAGGGAAGAGGTGGTACCAACTGCTTTCTGCTCACGTCTCAATCACTGTAACAATGGTTTGGCTGCCTCTATTAAGAAGCCTGGAAAATTCATTTTTTCAGTAGAAAAAGCAAGAAAGAATAGGGTTGGAATGGGTGCTGCATGAACCAACTAAGTCTATCTTCCACAGCTTCTAGAATAATACATCTTAATGAATTTTCTTAGGTATGGTAATATTTAGAAATAAAAACTGAAGTAGGCTCCTCAGTACAGTTTTCTGGCTTCCTGAACAGAAATTCAATCTCATGCTGAAGGCTTTTCACTGTCACACCTATTGCCAATAAATGCATTCCATACATCTGTATCACCGATCCACTCAACAATTGCCTGTGTGTATGTGTGTGTGCACGTGTGTGCATGTGTGTGCATGTGTAATTCCATTTTTAATGAGCAATACACTCAAATCAAAAAGAATCAAGATATACAAAAGTTTTCATCTCATCCTTGTCTCCTACTCATTGAGTACACTGTCCCAGATACTGTCAATGTTATCAATTTACTAGGGATTCTTCCAGAGAGAGTTTGTACATTCATATGCATTGTACAATCCTCTGTTAAAACTACGTGTTCCATCTTTGCACATTTCACAATCGGGTGGCTATGTCAATGCCTTTACCGAGGGAAGAGGAAGGGCAATTAACCTTCACTTGACTATTATGTGCCAGGTGCCTTCATACACACCATCTCATTCAATCTTTCCAATACCTCTCTGAGGAAATATTATCTGCACATTCAGGTTGGACATCTGAGACTCAGAGTATGTCTCACTTTGTTTGTGCTTCCATAACAGATAGACTGGGTAATTTATAAATAATAGAAATGCATTTCTCACTGTTCTGGAGGCTGGAAAGTCCAAGATCAAGGCACTAGCAGATTTGGCGTCTGGTGCAAGTTGGCTTTCTGCTTCATAGATGACACCTCTTCCTGTGTCCTGACGTGGCAGAAGGATGGAAAGGATAAATTTGCTCCCTCAAACCCATTGATAAGGGTGCTAATCCCATCCACAAGGGATTATGGCATAATCACCTCCCAAAGGCTCTGTTTATACCATCACCTTGATGGCTAAGTTCCAACATAAATTTTGGAGGGACAGGTACATTTAACCTATAGCAGAGTAGTTAGGTGACACATATCAGGCTAAAAAGAGACAGCAAAGGGTTGGATCTGGAATTGAAATGTACACGTGTTAGTCTGTCTCTGAAACATCTGATTTTTTTAAAAGAAAATGATATTTATTTGGGAATAGAACATTGCAATGGGAATACACCTGCCATAGTAAACTATGTGCATATTGAGGGAGGTAAAAGAAGACAAAAGTTTTAAGAGGAAAAAATTGAGGGCTGCATAATTGTTTTGAAATAATTATCCTTAGCTATGAAGATCCATAACAAGGGTGATGCAAGTCCAAAGCTGGACAGGTAGTTGCTGGGCAGATGAAACATCTATTGCTGGGCTCCTCCAGCCCTGTCAGTTTGAGCCCTGGATCTGGTAGGTTTCTGGTGGGCTGGTAGCCCTCCCTGCTACAATGGCCTACATAGATCTTCTTTCTCTGCTGCACTAACTTCTAGCTGATCCTTTAACAATGCATGCTCAAGGACGTGAAAGCTTGGCTCCTTTCCTTGCAGCATTTAGAGAAGTGATTTGCAACAAGTTGACAATCAATAAATGTCTATTAATTAAATCACCTGGCATTCCCTCTGACCTCTGGTTAGAGCCCTCACTATTGCTTCCTCTACCCCTAACTCCTCTAGCCTTACCCAAGTGTTTTCCTTTTAGGATTTCTCCTCTTACCATACCTGTCTCTCTGGAACCTTGCTTCTTGAGTTGTGGTCTGTGGACCAGCAGCATCAACATCACCTAGGCACTTATTAGAAATGCAAATTCCCAGGCCCCACCCCACACCTACTGAGCCAGAATCCATATTTTCATCACAGCCTCTGGTAGACACTATGCATATTAATGTTCAAAAAGCACTGTTCTGGATACACCCTCAGGTCAAATTTGGTCAGCCACCTGCAGCCACATTTGAAATGGTTATATAAGGACCTATACAATCTCCTCTTGGTTTGAAAAACCTACAATACTTATTACTTGTACTTTAAGGAAAATTTTGCTGACCTCTGCTCTAGAGCGTATGTCTCACTGTACTTGAATTATTGGTGGATTTTTTTTTTTTAAGTCTTGCTTTTACCCAAGTCTGGCGTGTTTCTTCATCTCTGTGCACCTACGGTGTTTTGTGTATTTGCATTCATGCCTTTACACTGTGCTTTCTATTTTGCTTGTATGTTTGCAGGTATGGTTCTCCACTAGGCAAAAAGCTCCTTGAGGACAGATGGGGCCAGGCTCCCTAGGAGCAGAGCCTGGAATGGGGATTCTTGTCGGGTGCGTGGTTGAAGGCACGCTCTCAGGAAGAACACGCAAGGACGGGAGGGAAGCAGGACAGCTAGAGGAAGTAGCTAAGCAAAGAGGTTGCGTCTGCCCCAGAGTCTAACCTCACCCTGATTCCATGGGGAGCTCTGGAAGATAAATAGCACCAAAGAGTCGTCCCACCTTGAGGTAAGGGGCGGGGCTTTTTGTACACAGGATCAGTCATTGGCCCAGGGTGCCCCGGGGAGACGCATCACCTCTCTTTTCCAGATGGGGCTGCTCCCCTTGGCTGAAGCCACCTGTGAGCCTTTGGCAGCCACTACTCAAGCAGCTGGGGCAGGGGGGAGTCAGTTCCGCTGTGGCTTTTTATTTTAATCTCTGTATCCTTGGTTTCTAGAACAGCTCCTGGCACTCGGTGAGCATGCAATAAATCCTTGTGACATGGATGAATCTCTTCCTAATATAATACTTATTTGTTAATTAAAATAGACAGTACCCATTGTCTTTATGTTCATCCAATTAATAAAGCAAATCATCTTCTAACTAGTTAGTTTAACAAGACGAAATGAGATGATCCAGATGAAGGTACCTAGCAAACCACCTGATGTATGATAGCAACAGTAAGCGTTAATTTCCCCTTCAGAGTGACTAGGCTATGTATATTTATTAAGAAGACTGCCTCCTGTTTATGGCTTGTAACAAATTCAAATGCATCAAGCGAGATGTCCGTTATTATTATCTGCGTAGTCTCTACTTGAGGCTTCCCAAGATCATTACCCTCAGCTGTGAGGGGGTGTAATGATGGTGTAATCTGAGATGTCATAGTAACAATGACATTGGAAAGTATGGAAGTATCAGAGAAAATATGGTTAGCTGTTAAAATTGTTTGCAATGAAAATAATGATAGCTCCCAGGCATTTAGTGCCTATTACAGACAGGCACTGTCCTAAGTGCTTTACAGACTTTACTGCCAGTCCCCCAAAGGACCCTGCAAGGTGGGTGTTGTAAGTAGTAGACACACAATAGGTGAACAAGGTATGTAATTAGGATAATAGCAAAATGAGGGCATCAATATACATATTTTTCATATTTCAAAAAAATAGCATTAGTCACTAGGTTAAAAAATCAATTTTATAAATTTTTATACTTGTTTATCATTATTTTTTTTAAATTTGAATTACATATGGGATCACCATCACCTTTTTAATGCACAGGATTTCTAAAAGTTTTAATTTCTCGCTGCCTTATTCCCAGATATGATCAGCCCAGTTTTAGAAATGAGGCAACTGTAACTGAGAGGTCACACAGCCACTGAATCACCAGGAGTCAGGACAACACTAATGTTGCAGGAGTTGGAAGCCTGGAGTAGCAAAAGGAAGGAGAAGGTGAGACTCAGAGGCGAAGTTATATTAGCCCCTTAACTGGAGCCCACAGACTTGTACCAGCTGCTGAGCTGCCGGAGACTGGAGAAATCAGTTTTGAATGTATTAAGGAGGTATTACTGCAATTAGGTCCCAAATTGGCTTGGGCTGCTGCATTCTGGAATAGTCCTGATAAAAGAACCTTAGCAATCTCCAGCAACTGCCATTCTGTTGGAGTCAGAAGCAGAAAGCCTCTCTCTTTCAAGCCTTCTTATCTCTTGCCAGTGCCTCCTGTTAGTAGAATCGACCAGAAAGTCAGCAGGCAGGAATCTTAGAAATGGAGTCTGCAAATACCCAGCTCAGTAGAGCAGAGCAGAGAAAGCTGGGTATGGGTTGGAGAGAGCACATGCAAATAATCAGGACACCTTACAGCTGGAAAGTGATACCGCTAGGCTGTACCATGCCGTTTTTCTGTAAAATGCATATATTTAATGGCAAAGCTATACTATTGAGCTAATCTTATTCATCTCATTTGAAAATTCATATTTGAATTAATCTAATTCACTTTACTTGAAAATTCATGTTTCTTAAAAATGAAAATTGGTTCATTTGTCCTCTGATTCTGGCTCTTTATTAAACTTCGAATATGATCTTTCAAAAGAGAGAAGAAATTTTCTCATACTGGTGAGTTTATGAATATTGGCATTCGCACCGATGGGTTGAAATCTTAGCATTTTGGAGCCCTGCTGGGATCTTCTGCTGCTACTCACTATGACATTTTTCTTATGCCCCAGAGAGAGTATGTTTGAATCTGAAATAGCAATTTATATTCCTACTTGCAATATCTCAGTTATTTGGTAGCAATTCTTAAAAATGTGTCTAGAGCCAAATGGCATTGAACTTTTCCATTGCTGATACCCTTTGAATCATGATCACTTATCTAATACTGCTGCCTTAGGCACTGGGGATACTAGAATAGATAAGATAAAATATCTGTTAATGGGGAGCTCATAACCTAATATTTGACCCAAACTGAGATAGCTTCTAGTAGTTCCCTAGCAAACAATTTTCTCTGAGAGAAAAATGTAAACTTGGGTTGTATAGTTTCTTTTCTTTTTAAAGATCCCAAGTCTCCATTTTAACCCAAGGAATTAAAGACAAAGGAGAACATTAAGCATGGTAAATTTTCTATCATAGTGCATGCCTGAGACGATCGCAGGTTAGCTGAATAGTCTTCCTATTTTGAAACATTGGTCTTTTGTTTCTTTGCTGGAGTAATAATGGCCGAGAAGTGACTTTATCTTGAGAGTACCTGTTACCCGATAAAGAAGGACAGAGAGGAATACTCTGGTTTCATTTTGCTGTTGCTGCCACACAAGAATCATGGATGTTACAAGCAGAAAACAGGAAGGGAGAGTGACTGCATAGCTCAGGACCACATTGGAATACCCTCCAGCAAGTGAGTATTGGACGTGAACAACGGTGAGCACTTTTCTCTGTTTTGCATCCTTATTGAAAAACTAATGCTATCCATTACCTACTTAATTAACCAAGAATCCATGGCATGGCATTGAAAGCCTTTAAACAACTGATGTTTTTCTTTCCAATCTTGTCTACTATTACAACCCACTCCTATCTGCTTCAGCTTCAAGTGGCTTGTTTGTTAGGCCAAGCAACCCTTTTTAATAAAACAAGACATTATACAGAGCTGCAAAATGTAATGCAGACAAATGCAGAATTGTTCTGGTTAAAAACAGTGGAGGATCTAGAACCCATAACCTTTGTCTCCTTGGTGCTTTTGCCGTAGGGGTATCTCTTCCAATCTCAGACTGCTCTGGCCAATCTGAAGGTTTCATCTTTCTTCATTTCTTTGCCTCTGTCTATTTCTCAGTTGATTGTTGTTGTTGTTGTAGCTTGGAATGAACTTTTTCTCTAGTATCTATCTCTAGCCTAAATTTTACCTCTTCCAGGAAGCCCTTCATGATTTTCCCTACTTGAAGCCAATCTAGACCTCCTCTGTGTTTCCAATGGTTGCATTCAGGGAATGTTGTTGTACTATATCGTAAACTGTCTTGACATCAGGGACTTCTCTTCCTCCTTTGTGCCTTCACGTTGTGTACCTATTTGTATTCAATGATTTTATTACTTATTTTAAAAGAGGAGGACATTCACCCAAATATGGGTTATTGATGATTCTCTCTTTTAATATAGGTTAAGATTTTCCAAATTTGTTTCCCTATTCCTACCATATGGAATGATTTTTCTTTTTCCTCTTGGGTTTGCTCAAATGCCACATCATAAATGAAATCTTTCTTGAATCTTCCCAGGTGAAAGTAAAGTTTTTCTGAATGCCTTGAAACACCCTATCTGTCCCTCTCTAGAGACACTGGGTTTTCTAGCTTGTGTTATAGAGCCATATACGTGTCATATATCCTACACAACGTTGTCAGTTACAGAAGAAAAGATCCACGTTAAAGAACTGTAAAAGCATCTAATCTGCAGTGAACACAAACATATTAATAGCTACAGACCCAGGTTATGCTAGTTATTATCTGAGTGACATTGCACAAAGAACTTGACTTCTTTGGATCTCAGTTTCTCCATTGTAAAATGAGGCCAATAATATTGCCCTCAGAGACCTTTTTTTTTGGTGAGGATTAAATTCCATATGATTAAAGCAGCTTATAAACATTGAGCATTCAAAATGATAAGTTCCTTCTCCCAGACTCATCTTTGAGATGTCCCCAGAACCTAGGATAGTTCCTTGTATAAATGAATGTTTATTTTCATGCTGAATTGAATTAGGCTAGTAGAATTACTATCCTAGCAGATATTAAGGAGAGTTATGTGGCAAAAAAAATGGCTCTGTTGATAAGAAATTTAGGAAACATTGACTAGTATCTGAATAACTTTTGAAAACAGGATTTAAAAAAATCTTTCAATATTCTAAAGCATATTATTTGACTATGTATTTCTTTCTTCACAGAGAATCTCACAGGGCCAGTATTCTTTGAGCAGAGGTTGGGAAATACAGAAATAGGATACTGGTCTTAGACAGAGTGGGGGGAAAGCCTTCCTCCCCTTAGGGTGTCTTTTCCACCTAAGGCAGGCTGGCAAGCTCTACAGAGACCACAAATGTGGACATTACTCAGATTAGACTCACCATGGTCCACAGTCTGATCTTGTAGGCTCTTAAAGGTGGCTTGTCCCATCCAAATGATATGTGCTATCTCTTATGGAATGACTCACATTAACCAAGTTTAGAGACTGATTAATAAACATTAATGTGAATTTGCTAATTTGCCATGAGCATTCTTACCTCCAGTGGCATATAATCTATGAATTGGCCTGATTATGTAATTTCTCCCCCCATAGGCTGATCTACAGCAAAAGTCAAATTATAATTGGAAGGCTTTTTGATAAATCTGAATCAGAAAAAAGTAAGAAATTACTTATTGATATTAAGAGGTGTCCATCAGCTAAGTCCTCCACCCTTTTTTGCCTCCTTCTCTTTTCCCGTCTATCCATCCAACAAATACTCCTAGAAAACCAACCAACTTCCTTCTCCCTTCCCTTCCCTTCCCTTCTTCCCAAAATTGAGTCTCAAAGTGATAAAATTACTTAGCTCTAAATCACACTCAGTGAGTAAGTGGCATAGCATGCCCAGGACCAAGGAGTAAAAATCAACCATTATTTAGAAAATCATGAATTTTGGTACCCTAGGGGAAGCAACAAAACATAATAGTTATGTGGGCTATCAATTCCCTTTAAAAAATTCTAAGCCTTTAGAAATAAAGGGTAGACTGTAGTTTCTTTGTTTATCATCAACTTTTGATTGATTTTGTCATTTTCCATATTTATCTTCTGTAATTTGGACCTTCCTCAAATGATGCCCTAACAAATGAGATCAATTTTCCTCTGAAATGTGTTTTTAAAAGAAATTACAGTCATCCTGGACCCATGTTCTTAGGGAGGAAACAGTATATTTGGCAATTTCCATTGCTTCTGGTTGCGATCAGCTTGAATTTCAGGCAGTCATCTTCGAGCTATGCCCTAATTAAGATGAACAGATATTGTCAGCCGGCCTGTTTAATCAGTTTCCCATCTGGCATAATCATGTTTATGAGCAGGATCTGCTTTTGCTTGGCTTGGGCAATAGCTAAAATCAACAGAACAAGGCAATCACAGCTCCTAAGTTAAGAACCAGGGCCCCCTCTCCATCTCTAATCCTAGCTGGGCAATCACATTTTCAAACCTGCGGAATAAACATACGGGGCCCTTGTACTGCTGGGACTCTATTAGACTCATGGCACCCACCCACCCACCTATTCATGCCCACTTTCATTCATTCCATTCCAGTCATCGCCCCCTTAGCCCCTCGTGTGTCCTGGGCTCTCTGTGACCCAGGGTGCATACTCTCCATGAAAAAGAGAGTCTTCCTGCTCTCAATAAGCTCTTGGTGTAATGGGAAATGTCTCAAAAACATATGGACCTAAAAAAGTGAAGCCTATTACTATTTAGAGAAGAGCATGAAAAATTCTTGCATTGAAAATGATTGTCTATTCAGTTTTGTATCCTGTCTCCGAGAAGGGCGATTGTGCACAGAGGAGGCCGTGGAAGCTGCCCTTTGTCACACTATTTCCTCAAAGGAACATGGCTTTGGTAAATTATTTGTATCTCTGCGATGGATGGCGCTCTATTGATCGCCTGATTAAACAACAGGCAGAAGACACTGGGAAAGAAATTTCAAGTTAACGCAGGCGTGAGTGAACTGATACGGCACCACTTTTTATCAGGAGAACAACTTGGGGATCAGAAAACGTACCTTTGGGAATGGTGCCACTAATCCATTGTAGCCCACTCAGAGCTCAGCCAATGTGGTCATTCTGGTGTCATAAACAGACACAGAAAGATGCTAAAGTGCTCCTTGGTTCAATAATGCCCATAATGTTACACTTCACAATGGGTTTGGTCAAAGTCGTGTTAACAGGAGACTTATGAGACTAGACCGTGTCGTCTTAGGAAGAAAACTGATAGTCGTTAGGGTGAGGTGTGCATGTGTCTGGGAAACTGGACACAGGGACACAGCCTGCAACCCTCACTAAAGGAGAAAATGAGATGCCACATGCGTACCCCGTCTTCTTTCTCCCATTCTTGAGGCCCAGCCCTCCTTGCTCCCTTCTGAGCTTGCAAAGCCTGGGCAGAGGGAAGCCCCTGTTAGCATATGGAGCAAGCTGGGAGCCAGAGGGGAGGCCAGGATTCCTTTCTTCAGTAAAGAGGGCTGGAGTTTCACATAGCGCGGGTGTGGTGATGCTCCAGGGGGGAGATTTGAGGCATGGTCCATGGTCCTGGCTTTAGGAAGAAGACAGAGCAGGGAGCTGCAGGAGGGTCCGCAAGGAGAATGGAGAGCTGGAGAACACCCACGTGCACAACCAAGGAAGGCCCCGGGTGGGTTGGAAGCCCTTTACCATTTCCTCTGAAAGGCATGAATTATCCTCAGTAACAACCTCCTGTCTCTATTGCTTTGGAGCTTTCCTGAATCATCTGTAAAGGAACTGCTTACATTTCTGTTCCGAGTCTGTTTCTTCTAGGGGAGAGAGTTGTGGGGTGATTCACCAATGAAGCAGTTCCAGATGAGATGTGGGGCCACCTGGTGATGTTCTGCGGAGGCGTGGCGGGTAGAAGAGGGAGCTCTGGCCTCCCCTCGTGGTCAGCTGTGTGGAGGAGACCACAGATCGTCAGGTGTCTTCCTGAGCACTGGGGACTGCAGGGCAGATTTCCTGGATCCCCCTGATAACACTTGTCCTTTCCATGTGAGGACAGAAAAGGGGCTCTGTCATACTCTGGTTACACAAAATAGCACTTCAAAATGGCCTAAGTGTTGCTGACCTCACAGTTTGTGGTGCCCGAGTCAACAGAAATCGGCATGAGACAGAAAAAGAAATTTATACAGGCAAGGTTTTATTGGGACTTTTGCTAAAGGGAGACAGTAGTGGTTAAGAAGCAACCAGACTGGCTCTTCCAACAAAGGGCTGGGGAACTTTTAAAGGGGAGAGAGAGAGAGAAAAAAAAAATTAGTGCCAGCATTGAAATCATAGCGTGTAGAGGTGGGGCTTTGGTGGCAGCTGCCCATCTGGTGATCATGCTTCTCCATATATCGCATGTCTTATTAGCATGTTCAATCTTCACCCTTGGGTGTGATTTTTAGCATTAAAATGAGGGAAAAGGCCCATGAGCAGTCAATTTTGGGCTTCCTCTTGGCAGCAACCAGTTTGTGCTGGCTTTGACTGGGGCCAGCGAACCCCTGCTCCAGTGGTTGCCATATCTTGTTAAAGAAAGCAGAACTACCTTCTAGTGAAGCTGGGTGTTAATCACTTTCAAAGCTTTTGTTCAGCATTGTAAGCAGACTTAAGCTTTGGCTCAAGGCTCAGGCAGGTGGCCAAAGTCCACCTCCTATGC